TATTTACTTAAACGATTTTAAAAATTCTCTCATCTGCATTATGAGTAAGAACCATGTTTTCTTACTCATAATGCAGATGAGAGATTTTTTATATATATTTAATTTCTAAATAATTTAAGATCCACAAAAAAAAAAACTACTTCAAATTTGGCGTATCCAGTTATATTTTGTTGAGCTACGTGGTTGTTATCTTGCGGAAGTCCATATCACTAAATATATTCAGTTATTTTGATTTAAAAACTAAACTACTGAACCGTTTCTGATAAAATTTCTATGGAACTAATTTATAACCATATTCTTTCAGATAAAAAAAATAATTTTCCAAATCGGTTTTTAACTAACGGACTTATGAACTAACAAACATAAAAGAAAATTGAAAATCTCCTTCCTTTTGAAGTCGACTGTAAAACCGCGCGAAGCCGGGGCAGATCGTTAGCGTATTATAATTTCATATATGAAACAATACCTTCCCAGCAGTTGCGAAGAGGCCAAGGGCGGGAAATGTTTTTACGACGGCAGCATCACGGCGGGCGGGGACGGAGTTCAGTAGACGCACATTTTATTATTAGTTCAGACTTGTGGCACTTTTTTATGCCCGCCTTATTATATACAGGACGAATAGTTATTAATCATTATTAGAAATAAATTATTTTTTATCTTATTAGAAAAAAAATATATAAAAATATATTTACCATTCTTGATAAAAATTATAAATTCGGACAATATAAATCAAAATTACTAGAAATAATTAATAAATCTAAATTTAGGGAACAACTCGTAAGTTAACATATTCTTATGAATGGATAAAGGCTTTATTTAAATTATACTTTCTAGTAGGGCTTATAGAATAAAAGAATACAAATAATAGGTTAAATAGACACACTTGTATAAATACAATGATTAAAGCAGCTCTATTCATGAAAGTAATTGACAACCTTGACAAAATATGGAATAATAATTGTGAATAAATATCTTTCATGTTTTTTTATTAGTAGATTTAATAAGCACAACGGATTTTTTTTTTATACAACTTAGAATGGCAAGCAAGCAATGGATTATTAAAAAAATCTGTAGACATTGTTCTAAACAAAATATGTTACATAAAATATAATCGAATCAGAGACAACCGCCCTATAAAGACCCTATAGGGAGAAAAAAGCGCACCCGACGCTAACTGAAAACTCATTTCGCGGAGTAATGCCGGCGCTCCGTCCACCCTGCGCTACTATCAAGTAACTTTTTAATAAAAAAAAAATCCCTCATCTCCGCTAAATTGTCCGCGCCACTCCAGAATATGAAGTCGTTATTTAAAAATACCGCATTTTCTCATATTATTTCGGTATAAATTTCACTTAAGCCCGTTCCTTCGGAGGGCCACTCGAATAAAGTCGTATCTCCGTTTTTATTGCCCCGACGAGATTTTAAACACAATTTATATTTTAACTATGGAAATCTTGGGAGAGTGTTAATTAAAAATTATTTTATTTCTTTGACTTTTGACACCTTTTTTTGCGCCGCTCGAGATATTACTTTACGCCCTTTTATTTTCCTCGTCGTCCTCAAAATTAAGATTTTTTTTCAAATGTAAGTTTTTATTAGGACAATAAATTATAAAAACACTTACTAAATTAAAAAAAAAAACTTATTATATTGGATGTATAATTTTTTTGATTACTATCTTTTGCACTTAATCTTCACTGTATCAAATTAAGAATATTTTATATATATTTACTATCAGATATAAACGTTTTAACACTAAGGTATAATAATAATTTTGTTTATATCATCTGTAAATACTTTTTTATTCGTGAGAACTTAGGAGTGTTGAACACATCTTTTACATATCCCTGCCAAGGTACCATACCGGAAAAATATGGGTTGTAATAATAATAATAAATATATATAGTACATTAAAATAACAAAACAAAAAAACAATAAATAAATAAATTACAGAATCAATCCAAAGATGTAATTTAAATAACAATGTCCCTACCTACTTATTTGTAGGTATTATCAACTCCAGTTATATCATCAGAAACGTCATTAAAGGCCGAGTGCAGATAGCTATTACACTCTTTCAATTAAAACCAACGTTAATCTCTCTACGCGATTAAATTACATTAATTGGCAGGGGGAATGTGTACACGTATTACAAATTAACTAATAATCACCATTATCGCGTTGCTTTAAAGTCTATTCTTCATTGGCACCATTTAGAGTAAAGATCGTCTTTGTTAATATTTGCGAATTGGCATCAATTTTGCGAGTGCCGCGTCATAAGTTATTTAGTTTTGGACTCTAAGTTGTCTCGCATAAAGTTGAAATATGTCTGTACATGTTTAGTAAAAGGGAAACCTTTTTGGATGATGCACAAAGAGATGGTAGATATGGGTGTAATGCGATTAACTTTGTGTTAAGTGACATGGCGCTAATGATTTGATTTGGAATTATTCCTTTTTGCAATCGGTAGTTTTGATGTCCCGTCATTAAAGCCCGATTTACATTACGAAACTAATAAAAATAATGTTATGAAACTAGTTTTGTTAATAAATATCACCAACAATTTCCCGTGGTAATTTTTAGCAAAAAATAAATATATTCATGTTCCTCTACATTCGTCGCATTAATTTCACAATCTCAAAATAGTTTTTATTTCGATTTTCAACCGACTTCAAGGTTTTCAAATTCGGTTGTATTTTTTTTATGTTTGTTACCTTATAATTCCATCAATTTTGAACTGATTTAGAAAATACTTTTTTATCTGAAAGCGTATGCTTTTCAGATTGGTCCCAAAGAAATTTTATGAAAATAGGTTTAGCAATTTAGTTTTTAGATTAAAATACCAGAGGGAGACTTCGTATTTATATGCATATAATATTTGATGTCCATGGTACTGCTCATGTCTATAGGTGACAGTTACCATTTTCCATCAGGTGGGCCGTCAACTTGTTTGCCATTCTAAATTGCATAAAAAATTTTGGTCTTCGAATTATTTCACTTATTCTGTATTTTCTATCGTGAATCTAACCTGACAGAAGTAATGTTACCACTTTCATTGAGATTAATTTGATTTGTTATCGATGTTCTCCATAATCGGAGTTAGTCACCATTTTCCATCAGATGAGCCTTCAGCTTATTTGACATTCTAATTCTAAGTTGAATAAAAAAATCTACGTTTGTCACAATTGAAGTATGGTTTTTTATAGGACGCGATTTTAATTATTTTGTAAAACTTAATTCTTCGTCACGTTTTACGTCACGAAATTATAGTGGCATGAAACTAGTGTTACTAAAACTTCGATATCTAATATTGCCTAATATTCAATACCCAAGCTCGCCTGTTGTACTTGTACATCTTTATTTAATATAAATTATATGAATGTATTTTTTTGTGTACAATAAAGTATAAATCAATATAATATTGGTGTAATGACTTTAGCGATATTGTAGTGCATCAGATGAACCATCGGTATCAAAGCTTTTCTAACGCTAATTTCACGTCACTATATATAATTACATGACGTAAAATTTGACGCATAAACTAACTTTTATTAAAAAATCGAAATACAAATTCAGGTCGTCAATTTATTTGGCATATTATTGTATAAAACATAAACAACGCATTCCAACATTAATATAAGTATTGTATTAATCTATTTAATGTATTACAACAATATCCTAAGTATAATCAATTAAAGAAAGTAACAAAGCGTGACAGAATCCGAAACGAGGATGTCCGCAAAAGAACTCAAGTAACTGACATAGTCCGAAGAATTAGCAAGCTGAAGTGGTAGTGGACTGATCACATAGCTCGGAAAACCGACAACCGCTGGGGAAGAAAGATTCTAGAGTGGCGACCCCGTACGGGCAAACGCAGGTTAGGACGACCCCCCACTAGATGGAGCGACGACCTGAAATGCATTGCTAGGGAGACAGTGGATGCAGATGCCTCAGTACTGTTCTTTATGCCAGTGTATGTGGGAGTCCTATGTGCAGCAGTGGACGGATAATGGCTGAGATGATGAGAATGGAAGTAATGAAGCAGATATACCTAAGAACTGCTGACCCCCATGGGAAGTGGTAACCGTCATTTATTGACATGAACAGTACCTACCTACAATGGACTTCAAAAAATAAAAAAAAATACCTAATTTGTCATTTAAAACAGTTTAATTCAATAAAATGTTTGGTATTAATAAGTACTTTATGTATCTACATAGCGTTTGAATCTCAAGAATATTTGAAAAATACAATTCACTTAACCCCGAATGTGAACCTAGACCTTCAAGTTCCCCAACTCAAGGAACATTTTAATATCTAATACGTATAAGTATATACATAAGTAATATTTCAAACGAAATACAGGTCAGGCATGTACTCGTAGATACAACAAATTACGTGGCGCGTCCCAACGTGGGTATCAAGTTAGACAGATACACTTCAACCCGCCCGAATGTGACTATTGACACGAAATTAATTCCGACCAACGTGGAATCTTCACTTCCGAGCCGTTGCCAGCTGTCAAGCCATTTAGAACAAACGTTCTCACCTACGGGTCCCGTCATAAACAAATCAAACATGGCCGGCCCGCCCGAGATATATTAATGAGACAATGAGACATTAGCTCGCTACAAAATGCCTCCGCATTCGCGAATAATTAAATCGTAAAGTCCCTTCTACGCCCGCCTACAGCACCAGTCTATTTACTCCTTTTTCATTCAGCACAATAGCCACTGCAATCCGACATTTTCAATTCCATTATGCTACTTCAGAGGCGAAACGCCCGATCGAATAGCGACTCTATCTATTCGCAAGAAAAACGGAAATAGAAAGTCGCGACATTATTTTATAAGGCGTATTCCGCGGAGACTATTAATTTGAGCGCGACGGACCCCGCCTACTCAATATCACGTTTACACACATGTCGGACTGTATCGTCGTCTCGTTCGCTCCGCGCCGCTTATTAAAATTCCTCGGTCGGTAGCTGCGTCTCTCTCAACCGGCGAGAGGAGAGGCGGTCCGCGACCGCGGTTTGCGCCCCAATGCTGGCGCGATTTTCACCGCGCTTCCACGCGAATCGTTACGCGGACGCGCGCGTTCTCAAACATATTCGCAACTTGCCGAAAGCGAAACCACAGCATGCTACCATTTTGAATTTGAAATCGGGAGGTTCCAAATTTGAAAATTTTGTGTGTGTGCCAAATTGTGCTAACTAGCCTCAACTGTCCCTACTTGTGTTCCATTGACTAGTCCAATACACTTTACGTGAACAGTGTAATTGAATTAGTACTCATTGTGCACACCTATGTAAATTTTTCAATCAAACAAAACGGATGCTCGCAATTTTTTACCGATAGACTTATTTGCATCGACAGCTAATTAAAGTCAATTAGACAAAGACATTAGTGAGTCACTTTCAATTGATCGATAAAACAATCGTAGATATTTATGAAGATGATGTCATAGAGCGGTCCGTCGGTGCAGACAGGGAGACGATTGTGAGAAATTGAAATGCCATCGAGTAGATGAAATGAAGACGTCGCTCGAATGCGACAGGGCCGAGGCCGCCGAAAACGGCGGGAAAGGCCGTATATCGTTTAGCGTTGACTCACTACTGGGAGGGAAGACCGACGCGCCGGCGAAGGATGCGAGCATCACGGACGCCAACAGTAACGATGCGGAGAGTACCGACGCGGCTCCAGAAACGGATGATAGTGACGTCGACATTGAGGATGTGGAATCTAACGCCGGAGACGAGAGGGACGAGCGGGAGATGGGGCATGATGGAGAGGAGATGGAGGGGAGGAGCGGCGTGGTGGTCCCGCAGCCCCTGTTGCCGCGCCTCTACCAGGGACCAGCACCGCCGCATACTTGGCCCTTTGGCGCTTTCCCTTGGATAGCGCCGAATCCAATGTTTAGAGGTGGTTCACCAAACAGTAAGTTACTTTATACTTAGATCAAAAATGGTAATAATCCAAAATCAACATTTGTAATGCTATGGACGTATTTGCGTTCCTTACGGCATTCTATGGGGGAAGCCTATGTCCAGCAGCGGACGAATAATGCCTGAATTGATTAATGCTTTAGAGTGTTATCACAAATATGGGTGTCAAATATTACATCTTTTTCATCAAATTTCACGAATCCAACATTTAGAAAGGCAAGCAAGAGTCTTTCGAATTAATAGTTATTTTAAACTCTCCCAGTATGGTATTAGAAGATTTTTCCTCAATTTAAGTATTGCGGAAAATACTTATTTATTCCAAAAAATAAACAAGTGGACGATAAATGTAGTTGAGAATTATTTACACTTCATCAGGGAAAATTAAGATAATTGTAATGAATTATTTGTACCAACTCATTAACCTATTAAATAAATTAAGAATAATAATAATAAGGAAAATCAATGTCGATTTATAGACAAGGAATTAATTACAATGTCACTTAACGAACTGTATTCTACAATACGTAATACTATATTTATTTCATTACACATTTATAAACAATTAAAATATGTAATGATTTGACAGGTCGAATAACACCTACTACACCTACTAATTATAAAACTAATAAATAATACTAATAGCAATACTAACACACGTCTAAAGGATTGCTTGGCAAAAAAATAACAATGAAATCTAATTTGTTATGAGTTCAATAGCTATAAGTTTTTTTTTTTTAAACAAAACTGTATACATTTTCTTGTTCAAAACAAATCATTAACTATAATAATTCAATCTAAAGTAGGTTTTATACTTACCGAAGTAAATATTTCATTTTTTCTAACCTCTAGGAATATATTTAGAAAAACGTGAAATAAACGAAATCAACAATTACTTGATGATAAGCATACGTTAATTCTAATCATCAACAATTGAAAAACTTCATTTACAAGTAACTTGAAATGCAACGTAAACTCATAAATTATTCTGTAATCTAATCTTCTGTATTCTATATAATCTATATACTATACCTACATAAAAAAAAATCTTCTCTATTTAAAGAATAAAAAAAAACGATTTTCAAAATCGATAGTAATTTTTGTACCAAGTTTGACAATTATTTTTGCAATAGCTGAGGTTTGCTGTCGTATTGCAATTGAAGTAACTGTGTTTTTGTGATAATAACTCGAAGTATTTCTTTTTTTCTTATTATATGTATGCTATTAAAAAATAAAGACAAAGAATTGATTTAATAAAAAACACTATTAATTTAATACCTACACACTATTGGACGTTTTTTTTTCTTTTTTGTACATAGAGAAAAAGCTATTAACATCGATGATGTCATCATATTTTAAAATCATATTATTTCATACCAATTATTCAAGTATGTGATTAAATCTTTTATACTAATATATAATATACCAATAATGTAAGTACTACCTATCGATTAGACAAATTGGAACACAGCAATTGGTCAATTAGAATCCATTTTGTACTCGTTAATTTTAACGTTCGTGTAGATAATATTCATTTGTTTTTATGTTATAAAAAGAAGTTTAATGCTAGATAACATCATAATCACAAAATAATTATTTCTTAAGATTATTAACTTACCAAGCATTCCGTCACATCTCATTATCTTTTAGTACCTCGAGATTTACACGACATCTAAGTTATTTTTAATCTTCAATGAGAACCTAGGTTCCGAAACCACACTACCACGTTTACTTAAACCAATAAAAAAAAAACGCTCGTTCTCCTAACTGAAATATATCAGTAGTTGAATTTATTTATTTATAACATTTGTAACCAAAATAACCTTAAACCTGTTTTTATTCAAAGCTATGCTACTTGTGTGTGTATTTTAAATTGCTTTCTCTGTTATATTTAACATTTGACATGGCTTACACTTAATTTATACCATGTATTTGTTCTACTAAATCTCCTACAATTTATAACTGACAGAATTTTTGAATGAAGTGTTTTTCTTAACATTATTCTAAACAATCATTGGGCATTCTTTCTGTTTAATTAATATGGTTCCCTTGTATATTCAGCGTCACAATGAAGCACTATTTATACATGATATTGTGACTTAATCCTTTAAAAATTATGCAAATAAAAATCCACATTATAAAAATGAAACAGGCATTTGCTTTTTATATGTATAGGTAATATTATTAATCAATTAAAATATATTAGTTATTAATTTACTGAGTAATAATGAATGAATAACTCTGTACCGTGACAAACGTTTTAGATAAATAATAAATATTTATACAAGTCTGAATAAATCTTGTTCACTTGATACCTCCAAGTGTAATTTATTATATGAATGAATAATGCGACAAATCCTTATCAATAAACAATATAAATTAAAATATACAAGTCGTAAAAAGTTATGTAAATTACAGTTTCAAGAATCCGATATAGAATTTCAAATGATTTTGAATAATTCACTTTGATGTAAGTAATTTGGAAGTATAATTTTTTTTGTTCGATTTTAGTATAAAAATTTAAATATCACCTTCAGTATTGATTGAAGCTTTTTTATTCTTTTCTTCATTACAACTTTAATATTCCTACGAATAGATAATCTTCAAAATTTACTATCGGTATATTTTTTAATAGATAATACTAGAATAGTAACCCTGCATGTGCTTTAGTTTATTAAGCTGGCGGGGCACTAATGAGTGATAATAGATGAGAAGGAAAGCAGGCCTTTTATGACGAATTCATCAACGATTAACACGGTGGTTCCTAGAGAACCGCGAGTAGACAGAGTATATTGCTAGCAATATGACCTAGACCTGTCAGAGTATATTGCTAGCAATGGAGCTGCTATTCCCCGTTATTAACAATCATATCTACTTAAATATATAGAGGAAGTCTATTATATTTTCTTTCAGTTAAATGCTTATACACTACAGTAAAAAAAAACATACTATAGGTTAAATGTATTGTAAGCAGATACCTACAATACAAGTAGATACTTGGAGTTTTTTTTTTTTTACAACACAGGGGGCAAACGAGCATGCGGCTCACCTGATGGTAAGTGACTACCGCCGCCCATGATCACCCACAACACCAGCGGCATTGCAGGTGTGCTGCCGGCCTTTTAAAAAGGAATATACTCTTTTCTTGAAGGTTATGTTGTCGTATCGGTTCGGAAATACTGCTGCTGGAAGTTGATTCCAAAGATTGGTTGTGCGTGGAAGAAAGTGCCTTGAAAAACGCACGGTGGAAGACCGCCACTCGTCCAGATGATTGGGATGAAACTTTAGTTTGTGGCGGGTTGTACGGTGGTGAAAATCAGCAGCAGGTATCAATCCGAACAATTCCTCAGAACACTCCCCATGATAAATTCGGTAGAAGATGCACAGAGACGCAACATCTCTGCGCAGTTTCAATGGGTCAAGTCGGACAGTAAGGCGTTGACTATCGATAATTCGAGCCGCCCGACTTTGAATGCGGTCTAACGGAAGGAGTTGGTACTGTGGCGCTCCTGCCCACAGGTGAGAACAGTATTCCATATGCGGCCTGACTTGGGCTTTATATAATTTCAGGCGGTGTTCTGGCATGAAATATCGTCTCACCCTATTGAGCACTCCTAACTTTTTGGAAGCTATCTTAGCCTTCTCCTCCAGATGACCGCAAAACTGGACGTCGCAAGATATATCAACGCCCAGAATTCCTAGACTTGACTTTTTATCAAGGGAGTATCATAATATCTTTGGCTTTTTTTTGCAACTTAGAATGACAAATAAACTGACGGCCCTACTGATAGAAAGTGGTAATCATCGCATAGATATTATCATGGACATAACAGAGTATACTGTGTCGCCCATGATACCTACCTTTCCTGCGTTGCTATTTCTGAGGACTTAGGTGTTATGACTTTGTATCCTGTAATTTCATTGCCTTATCCTATATGTCATGGCTTGATCTTAAACCAACAAATACTTAAGTTAGAATTACAAATATCTCTATTCATATTTCAAGATTTTTTTTTAAATCCCTTTCGCTTGATTTCGACGAAATTAAATTAACTTACAACAATTGCATGATAAATATTGGTGTTTTCCTATTCCTATAATAATAATAATTTATTTATATGCTCGAAATGCGGTAATAATAATGGTCTTAAATATTATTGAGCTACACATTTCGCCTTATCTAAAGGCATGCAAATTTTTATTTCAGCACATGCTAAATACTTTTTAGTGGCTTACGTATATTAATAGCCTAGTAGGAGTCAATCTATAAATATTGGCAGTCGCACACATACTAATGGTAGCAGAACTAAACAAATACAAATACAAACTAAACAAAAACAAATACATAACATACTGTCTTGGCCATCCTTAACCGCTGAAGTTCTCAGGAAAATGGTGTAACAGAATCCTCATATAGATTTAATAATTTTTCTTTTAATACCTCATAATATATATGCTATATATATGCTTGCATATACCTTAAACTTATCTCTACTACTGATTACTCTTATTTCTTAAAAAAATACAGGAAAATAATTAACTAAACTTGACCAAAATTGTTTGATCCTTAAGACGAAACTAAACAAGTAATCATGACAAGTACGACCGTAGATAAATCAAATTCTTCTCGTGACTTGCATATTCTCTTTCTTCTTTTTTTTTGCTTTACTTTATTACAAAATAAAAAAAAAACAATAAAATGATTCTTCTATTCTTACTTTACCTAATACAGGAAGTATAATACTGATAATATTAATAAATTTCTTGATACTTCTGCCTCTTTCTACTCTAAAATTATTTAGTATATTTCGTTCTAGGTTTAGTTAAATTAGAGTTTGGTTAAATTTTCATGATAACTTGTAGCTATATAATAAACCCAATAAATATAGTTATGTCCAATTAATACAAACAACACATATCTATTTATAATATAAGAATATTATTATTTTGTTATTATTATTTCAGCCATTAACTGTTTACTGCTCAACACAAACC